CAGAGTCCTGGCCTGATGATGTTGATCTTCTGTGCTGGTCCATCCTTTTGGCCAGTGGCTGTTTAGTTTCCCCGATGTAAGACTGATCACCCTCCTGACACTGAACAACATACACAACATTACTCTGTTTGTGCCGGGGGACTGGATCTTTGGGATGAACCAGTCTTTAATGTATTTTGGGGTTTAAAAGCCACTGGGACGTTATGTTTAGAAAATAAACGTCTCAGTTTCTCTGATACTCCCTCAACATACGGAATGACCACTGGTCTGGGTCTGGGTTCCTCCTTTTCACCTGATGGCTGACTGGAGTCCTGTTTGGGTTTCTTCTTTCAGGAAGGCCCAGTTAGGATATCCACATTGCTCTAGAGCCTGTCTTGTGTGGGATTTCTCCTTCTGCCTGGCTCCTGAGCTAGTGGGGACGCTGTCTGCTCTGTGGTACAGAGTCCTGATGACTCCTAACTTGTGCTCCAAAGGGTGATGGGAGTCAAACTGCAAATACTGGTCTGTGTGGGTGGGTTTGCGGTACACCTCAGTTTGCAAATGTCCTCTATCGGAGACTGAGACCTCACAGTCCAAGAAAGCCAACCTGCCATTTTTTACATTTTCTCGTGTGAACTTGATGTATTTATCCACAGAGTTGATGTGGTCAGTAAAATGTTGGACTTCCTGAGATTTAATTTTCATCCAGGTGTCGTCAACATACCTGAACCAATGACTTGGTGGTGTCCCTGAAAAGGACGTCAAGGCTCTCTTTTCTACCTCCTCCATGTACAGGTTGGCAACAATAGGAGAAACTGGAGACCCCATAGCACACCCATGTTTCTGCCTATAATAATTGTGAAAAGAAACCGTCCATCATTAAACAGGGGTGGAGCCTCCGGGTTCAACTGTCCCCCTCTTACAATGCTGTGATTGCTAGTATCACTCAGCCCTCTGTGAACAGTAAACAGCCATCAGGTGCTAATGATCCATTGTTAGGCTGATGGTCCTTCTTGACCATGTGAGCAGCTGGTTCTGGTTGTCAGCAGCAAACTGGTTGATCCACTCTGAGAAGGTGCTATTTAAGAGACTGAGCTGAATACAGCACCTCAGACTGAGGAAGTCCTCAGGATGAGAGACGAAACGTTTCTACATTTTTTGTTGTTTTGCTTTGTTTTGGTTTTTTTGAATGTCCAGAGGACCAGATTTAACTTTTTTAGATTTTTCTACCTGGATTATTGAGCATGCATCAGGATAGTTGTTTTAAATGTTTATTTTCTCTAACATGCACTTTAGTTTCTGCAATATGCACTGTACAGGTCCTTCTCAAAAAATGAGCATATTGTGATAAAGGTCATTATTTTCCATAATGTAATGATAAAAATGAAACTTTCATATATTTCAGATTCATTGCACACCAACTGAAATATTTCAGGTCTTTAATTGTTTTAATACTGATGATTATGGCATACAGCTCATGAAAACCCAAAATGCCTGTCCCAAAAAATTAGCATATCATGAAAAGGTTCTCTAAACAAGCTATTAACCTAACCATCTGAATCAACGATGTAACTCTAAACACCTGCAAAAGATTCCTGAGGCTTTTAAAAACTCCCAGCCTTGTTCATTACTCAAAACCACAATCATGGGTAAGACTGCCGACCTGACTGCTGTCCAGAAGGCCATCATTGACACCCTCAAGCAAGAGGGTAAGACACAGAAAGAAATTGCTGAAGGAATAGGCTGTTCCCAGAGTGCTGTATCAAGGCACCTCAGTGGGAAGTCTGTGGGAAGGGAAAAGTGTGGCAGAAAACGCTGCACAACGAGAAGAGGTGACCGGACCCTGAGGAGGATTGTGGAGAAGGGCCGATTCCAGACCTTGGGGGACCTGCGGAAGCAGTGGACTGAGTCTGGAGTAGAAACATCC